ATGAACTGGAGGCAGAGGACACGTACAGTTCTTCTTAAATGATTTTAGTAAATTGATATTTTACCATCAGCATCTCACGAAAGCCCAGAAACAAATACAGCAGCTTCAAAACATTTGTGTTTGGAAACAGGCAACTCTTATCATTGCCCTACTTTTTTAAAAATCAAATTAAATTTTTGTTCCTAATAGGAATCATAAAAAAAAAATGTTTCCCTTACTACAATGGCTCTTGTTAGATTTCCACTTAAAGCCTTCTGTTCCAGCTGTCATGGGGGCTGCTACCTTCCTTAGAGGACAATGGGGCCAGCCTGAACCTCAGCGTATATCCTCCAGGCTTCAGGGCCAAACAATAGAAAAGTAGGGGAGCCCACTTTGTCTGAGCAACCACATCAGCCCATTATTCTGAGAACTGAAACCTTAGGGACTGGTTTCCCGGTGGTCTGGCCTGCAGGCACTGAGGGACTACCCTGAGCCAAGAGAGTGCTGGAATGTTTCTGCTAGAACACTCAGGGCTTAACTCTTCAATCTGAGGCCATCCTGCATGATCCGGGTTTCCAAGGCTCTCACCGTTCCAGGCCATAATTCCCAAAGCTTGTGTACTGACTGTTTCAGGAGCCCTGCGTTCCACGGTCCACCCATCAACTCAACTGACCCCTAGTAGACTCTCAGCTCCTCTGAGGGCAAGGACTGTGCCTCACCCATCTTTCATGCACCCCAACTCCCCGCAGTCACAGCATCTGGCATATAGCAGGTGCTCAGTAAACACTGCTTGGGTTGTTTGTTTGCTGTTCTGTTAGTAATTTAAACTTTGTCCTGTGACCTTCACCTGGGGGACCGTCTCAAATCCTGTCTACAAAACATGATCTGACTTTTCTAGTCCTGTCCCTTTGTTACAAACTACTATTTTGGATTTTGCAGCCTATGAACAGTTTAGGACAAACTCTCACTGTGATTTTTCATTGCTTTGTGTATTTTCGCTGGCCCCTCAGCAGAGTATACTTGGAGAAGGCAGGTCTTCAGTGACCTGTGTGTGCTCCCTGCCCCTCTGAGTACATGGGTACTCAATAAATATTTGCCAATTGAGATTACAGAAAACAAACTGGCCTTTGACTCGGGTTTCAGAGTTAAAACATTGCACAAGATCTCCAGGATTCCTATAGTTACAATCTTTCAATCCAAAGCCGAGGAAAGGAGCAATATAAGTAGAAGATGGTACACTCACTAACATACATGCACCCAATAGAGGAGCACCTCAATACATAAAACAAATGCTAACAGACATAAAGGGAGAAATTGATGGGACCGCAATAATAGTAGGAGACTTGTCACACCCCACTAACGTCACTGGACAGCTCTTCCAGACAGAAAATCAGGAAGGCACCGGAGATACTAAATGACTCAATTGAACAGTTAGACTAGGTTGATATTTTTAGGACATTACATACCCCAAAAAACAGAACATACATTCTTTTCAAGTGCTCATGGAACATTCTCTAGGATAGACAACATACTCAGACACAAAACAAGCCTCAACAAAGTTAAGAAGATAGAAATTATTTCAAACATCTTTCCTAACCACAGTGGCATGAAACTAGAAATCAACCACAGAAAGAAAAACTAGGGGAAAAAATGACTGCATGGAGACTAAACAACACGCTACTAAAAAACCAATGGGTCGAAGATGAAATCAAAGAGGAGATTTAAAAATACCTTGAGACAAAGCCCAGGAGATCACTGGCCCCAAACCTCCATAACACTTGCATTGCACCTTCTTAAGCAACCTCGAGTCTTCAAAGCAGAAACCTGTTTGCCTTTTCTCAACAATGAATGACTGTCATTGTCCTCTTGGCTCTGTCAAAGAAGTATTTGGTGGCATGGGCCACACGAAGATATTTAATCCCTATTTGTAAACTGAATTTCTATTCATTAGGTGACTGACACATCTGTCACACTAAAAGGCAGATGGGCCAAAACTGTCTCCCAAAGAATTCTGCCCACCTCGTAGTTCAACCACATCAGGTAGCTCGATAGGCAACTGACTTCCCCAGGACAACCAGCTCCTGAGGAGGAAGGAAGCTGTCAGGCCTGAATTACTACAAGACTTGGGGTGGAGGGTTAGGATGCGTCTAGAAAAGCTGGCTTGGTCTGGACCACTTGGGCTCTGCAGGGCCTCAGGGTGGTCCTGAGGCTGATGGGATGTTTAATGTGCTCAAGGGCAGCTAAAAGTGTTTGTCCCTCCACCCTCCAGTGTGGTGCAAATAATTTTGACATCACACTAGAAGTTATCTCCTGTGCTGACGTCAGGGGCCAAGCACCTAAGGGAAATGACCAATATCCTTCCACAGAGTCCAATTTAATACATGCAGGCTCCTTGTCACTCTGCAGCAGATAATGTGCAAAGAACACCTCCATTGTCTCTCCTTTTAAACAAAAAAACACCCTTGCAAACATGACAGTTCCTTTTGTGAAGACTCCACACTCTGTGCTGAAAAGATTGCCTGGAGAGGGAAATGAATTATGCACTAACCTCCCTCGGGGCGAGATGTGCATCTCTCCAAAGCCAAGAAAAGGGGTGCCTCAAGAGCACTGCCTCTCACCTAGCTAACCGTGACTGGCCTCACTACGCAGAAGCCCCCCAGACACACTGAGCACTCTCACGCTCGATGGGACGGACAGAGCCACTGGACTAAAGTCACCCTGGGGGGGACGAGGGTGGGCGGTGGGCAGAGGCACAGCCCCGGAGGGCAGAGCTGCAGCCCGATGGCAGGGTTTCCTAACGAGGCTGTTTAATTTGGGACTGGCCATTTCTGTGAGGCAGCGCCAATGCTGTTGGCTAACAGGGCTCAGAGGACAAGCTGGAAGAAAAACAAAGCTGGTCTTTCAGACCTTTTCCCCCTTGGCTGATGCAAGATGTGCGTACAGGAGAGCAAAGGGAAGCTGAGGAGAGCAACTCGGTACCACGTCGGGGAGAACATACTGCAGACCCAAATGGAGCTTTCTGCTTGATGCCACGCTCGGCCACAGAAGCGGAGCACGGAACTGCCTCCAGAGAGGGGGCAGCTCTTCCCGGGGGAGAAGGCACCCTGACCGCGGCTTGCACTCCCCACAGCGCCGAGAGCGCAGGCAGGACGCGTGCTCACCTCCTCAACTCCACCCCTTCCTCCGTCTCCCCCAAACAGCAGCCACCTGGCCGTCTGGGGCCTGGGCCAGTACAGAGGCCCCTTCCCTTGGCCACCCCGCAAGCCTCTGTCTTTGAATCCACTGTTTGCAGAGGGACTATTCTTTTTTTTTCTTTACTGTTTATTTTTTGTTTGTTTTGTTTTGTTTTTCTCTTGGGGTGAGGTAATTCGGTTTATTTATTTACTTATTTATTTTAATAGAGGTACAGGGAATTGAGCCCAGGACCTCATGCATGCGAAGCACGTGCTCCACCACTGCATGATACCCTCCCCATCCCAGAGGGAGCATTCTTAAATATGACCACATCACTCCCCTCCTAAAAACCCTTTATTGGCTCCCTATCACCTATAGGATGGAAGAAAAACTCCTGAGTCTTGAAAGACATCTTTTT